AAATGGAACGGGAGTAGGTATATTGATTATTTCTCCTAAGAAAATTCCAACAAAATTTAAGTTTAGGATCGAAGGTCCATGTTCTAACAATGAGGCCAAATATGAAGCATTAATTGCTGGCCTTGAAATTTTTTTAGAATTGGGGGCAACTAGAGTCGAAATAACGGGAGACACTGAATTGGTTGTAAAACAACTCACAAAGGAATATAAATGTGTTAAAGAAAATCTCATTGTATACTTTGTGGTGGCAAATAGATTGTTAAAAAGGTTTGAGGTAGTGTATATCCAACATATACCCAGAATAGAAAACCAGGTTGCTAATGACTTGGTCCAAATCGCTTCCGGATATAAGGTATTGAAAGAAAAACTTCAAGAAGTGATTGAGGCGAGAGGAAAGATAATGACTGTTGGATTATGCCCATCAGATCAAAAAACCACTAAACTTGGGTTCTTGGATGGCGAAAATTTTGAAATTTTTGCCATAGATAGTTTAACAGAGAGAGATTGGAGAAAGACCATAGTCGAGTATCTGCAAAATCCAACAGGTTCGACAGAGCTAAAGATCAAGTATCAAGCTTTGAGTTATACACTTGTGGGTAATGAGTTGTTTAAAAAGACCCCTAATGGGGTTTTGTTGAAATGCCTTAGTGAAGGAGAGGCATATGTCGTGCTCTCGACAGTGCATAGTGGAGCTTGTGGAGCACACTAAGTTGGCCATAAAATAAAATGGCTATTGTTTCGACAAGGCCTGTATTGGCCCACTATGTTAAAAGATTACATAGAGTTTGCTAGAGGATGCCAAGAGTGTCAGATTCATGCTGGAATCCAGCATATCCCTGCAAGTGAGTTGCACTCGATAGTAAAACCATGTCCCTTTAGAGGTTGGGCTTTGGATATAATAGGAGAAATTCGACCAGCATCGTCAAAAAACCAGAAATATATCTTGGTTGGAATTGACTACTTTACGAAATGGATCGAAGCAATACCATTGGTAAACGTGGGTCAGGAAGAAGTTATCAATTTTATCCAAAACCATACTATATACAGATTTGGCATTCCAGAAACAATCACAACAGATCAGGGATCAATGTTTACTGGTCGGAAGATGCAGGAATTCGCCAATAAAATAGGTTTTAAATTATTAACCTCGACACCCTATTATGCCCAGGCAAATGGGCAAGTCGAAGCTGCTAATAAAGTAGTAATTAGACTAATTAAGAGGCATGTAGGAAAAAAACATCGAAGTTGGCACCAGACGTTGGACCAAGCCCTTTGGGCATGTCGAACGTCACCAAAAGAAGCTACTAATGCCACGCCATTTAGGTTAACTTTTGGGCATGACACAGTGTTACCTGTCGAAATATGCTTACAATTCGTGAGAATCCAGAGACATCATGAGATCCTTTCTCAATCTTATTGGGAAATGATGATGGATGAATTGGTAGACTTGGACGAAGAAAGGCTTAAAGCCTTGGAAGTATTAAGAAGACAGAAACAAAGGGTCGAGGATTCCTATAACAAAAGGGTTAAATCTAAGTCTTTTCTAAGTGGAGATCTCGTATGGAAGGTAATTTTGCCTATGGATCAAAGGGATAGAACCTCAAGCAAATGGTCCCATAAATGGGAAGGCCCATTTCAAATCATACAAGTATTCTCTAATGGAGCCTATGAGATCGAGGAAGTAGACGAAGATAAAAGAATCTTGAAAGTAAATGGCAAATATTTGAAAAAGTATAGGCCTATCTTGCAAGAAGTTCATATTAAAATCTAGATTTCATTAAAAACATAATAGCCAAAATAGGTCAAGAAAGCTAACATGGCAAACAAGAAATCAAAACAAAAGAAACCAGTACAGTGGTTCATAACTTAAAAACAGGGATCAATCAAAATCTCTCAAATCAATGGACTTGAGGTATTCCATGTAATCCTCATCAACTTCATCGTCAGAGTGGTGGTTACGAGGGCGTCCTTTCTTGGATATTTTCATATTGGTTTCTGTTGTCTTTGCACGATGAGGTGCTCCATGGGAAGCCTCAGGTTTGGTGGCTGGTTTAGTTGTCGTTGCCACCACCAGCTCCTTTGAATCTTTTGCCTGGGTTTTAAGGGCGGACTTTTTTGGATGGGAGTTCATACTTGCTTTGATGGAGTACATAACCTGGTTCAAAAGAGAAGAGGTTTTATAGGGGAAGATTGGGTGTGGATTGGCCAGTCAAAACGGTGGAGTACTAAGGGATTAGTTCTGAGAGGATACCTAAAAAGCTACGCCTTAAATACCATGGTAAAACTAAAATCCTATGACGTTGGAACAATAAAGAAACTAGGAAAAGGTGCTACTTGTTAGAGAAAAGAAAAACATTAAATACGAATTGGACTCAAAATGTGAGGCCATAGGGAGTAATGTCGTAACAATGTATCATAAAAGAAACATGTCTAAGGACATTAGAGGGTACATAAATAGTTACGACAAAGAAATTAAATATTATCATTACAAAAGGCTTGACAGCCATAAGATAAAATGATGATTACAAAATGAGGGTCGAGAAGCCTAAAAAGGGAAGTTTCGACTTTAATTGAGCAAAAGTATTCATGTGATGATTGAGACGAGCGTCGCACAGGGATTTGTCTAGCCTGGTTGTTGCAAGTTCTTTTTCAAGCCTCTGGGCCGCATCGATAAAGTCAATGGTACTTTTCAGCTCTAGAGAGATGTCAGGATCGACAGAGGATTTCAACTCGAGGTTACGCTTTTCGGGATCAGAAATCTTCGCCTAGAGGTCCTTAATTTGTTGTTTCCACGCATCAATGTTTTTTTGGCTGGAAGTAAGTTCGTCCTGACGTTGCTTGTGGGCGTTCTCCAGCTGTTCGACCCTCGCTTCAGTTTCTTGTGCACCAGTTCAGGCTGCACTTTCGCGACCAGCTGTAGCTTCAATGGTCTTCACGAGAGAAGGGAGTCGTCGAATCTCTGAAGACAAATTATCCACCACAACCGTCAAGTCTAGTAAGAAGCCATGAACTTCTGGACTAAGAGTAGTGAGGTCGAGCTTTTTGAGTTGGTCTTTCAAAAACATGAGAGACGTAGGGTCTGCAGTTAGAACATTTTGGATGTCCCCTTTGAATAACTTTTTCTTGATGGCTTGGAGGATCAGATCGGCGAAGTCATCTGAGGTGAGAGGAGTGGGAGTAGTCGAAGAGGTAGAAGCAAATCCACATTTTTGCCCAAGGACCCTTGTAGCATATTCTCTGGGATTCGACCATCTTAGAGACAGTAGAGGATCTTCAGGGGTCACAATGGGAGGGGGAGTCTTTTTCACCACCGGCGAAGTATGGTCCGAATCACAACCAGTTTGGTTTTCTTCTTCGACATCCGCCTCGTTGCTTGCTTCGTCATCCTCGTCAGATTCTCCTTCGCTTTGTCCTTCTTCTTCTTCATCCTGGTACTTTTCATCGTTGACTCTCATGTTTTCATCTTCATTACCAGCAGAAAGGGGGTTGTTTGGTTCAGGAGGGGATTTAGGGTGCACAGCCTTTGGCTCTTCATGCGTAGTTGGACATGGGTTATCATTTGTTGTTGTGCCTGGAGGAATATGAACTTCTTTGCCAGCCACATCATCAGTGACCATAGGGTCAAGTTGAGTGTGAGGTGGAGGACTATAAGCGTCGTCGTCTCCAGAATTGCAATCTTCGATATGGGCCTGTTGTGTAGTAGTGGATGCTGAAGGAGGTTTAGTTCCTGCAGAAGGAACAACATATTGGTTCACTTCACTTAAGCTAAAGCCAAGGTCAGAAGAAGTGTGATAAGTTGGCTCACCTTGGCTATTGATGGAGTAAGTAGCAGAAGCATCAGAAATTGGGGGTGGAGTAGTAGTGATGGTATTAGCCTGAAAACACAAGTAAAGAGGATAAAGCTAAAATATTATGCAACAAAGGGCACATAACCAAGATGATAATATGCATACCTGAGCTAGAGTAGCGCTGGAGTTAGAAGTTCCATCCCCAAGATCACTAGAAGCTGGCTTCACAGTGGCCACGGGGAATTGTCCTTCGACACCATCAGGAGTGGATATCGAACTAAGAATTTTGGCCACCTTCGCTGGAGGTGGGCCAATAGGTCCAGATGCTTTCACAGGTTTCTTTCACTACAAGAAAACTGGCGAATTGTGACGGTTCATTTTGATAGATTACGACGATTTTAACCGTCGCAATTTGTAAGTTACGACGGTTTCAATCCCGTCGCAGAAACGTGCGTCGTGAGACCGTATTGCGACAGTTGTGAAAACTGTCGTACAAACCGTCATTATTTTCACAACGGGTAGCTAACTGTCGTAATCTCCATATTGTGACGGTTTTCAACCGTCTTAACTTGCTTAATGATTTTTGTTTTCATTGTTGATTGCGAAAGTATATTGTGGCGGTTTGAACCGCCGCAAGTTGCAAATATTTTTTTTATAAAAAAACTATGGTATATTGTGGCGGTTTGAACCGCCGCAAGTTGCAAATATTTTTTTTAAAAAACTATGGTATATTGTGGCGGTTTGAACCGCCGCAAGTTGCAAATATTTTTTTTTAAAAAAATTTGCACTCAGTTTAGGATTCATAATACAGCTATTGTAGGTAACATTAATGGCAATCATCAATATTCATGATATTCACACAATAAACACTAACATAAAAAAGTTTTCAATCATTAACCTTGCATTCTCTAATTTTTGAACCACATCACACATAGCATGTATACAATAACCAATTGCATACGCAACAATTCAAACATATAGCACAACAACTATAATTCGCACCAAAATTTAAATTGAAACAAATCCGACTCGGCAGAAAATGCTCAATCAAAATTCAATTAATCTAATAACAGCATCAAACACTACAACACTAATTTTAACTTTCTCACACATGAATGTCAACTTCACAGTTCAACCTTCTCACATATGAATCCGCAGAACCATAACAACTCAAATTTTAACTTAAAAGACAGCAAGTTTGATTTGAATAAACTAAAAGCAACCCAAATTTTCACTTTCAATAGGCTCAATCATGAGTGTACCAGCCACAGGCCATGACATTGTTGGTCCATGAAATTCATAGTCCATGAGACGTTTCGCAACATCTTCGGGCTCTATTCCAGCAGTATTCTACAACGGAAATACCTTACAATTAATCACAGCTTGAATAATCATAATATTACTTGAAAATCAATTTCAATCATCAAGTGGTCTAACCTTAAATCCTTTTAAGTCAATAATGAATTCATGAGCAACTGTTCCATTGACTCCGCGGAAAAGAATTGGGTAATAACTCTATAGAAGTCAAAGTATAAGTATAAGACCAAGGTTCATCGTGCATGAAAATAACAAGAAAATAAAACAAATGTAATTTATGACAAAGCTTGAACCTCCAATCGTTTTGCCATGTAGTTTGAATTCAAAAAGGCTATCTTTGATGCGTCAGTAAGTCCTTGAGAATCCATCATGGTTATGTATGTGTAAGAGATTGGCAATATGAGTGCTGATCCCCAAGATCCAATAGGATATTAAGACTCATCTTTTATGGATTCTGCAATAGGTTAAGCTACCTTTGGGGCTAATCTATTATAATATGCTTTAAAAGCTTTTATGATACATGTTTACACATCATACATTTTTTATTCAAAACTCTAAATCAACAAAAAATTCCTATTAGGCAGCATTCTTAAAAATTAGAATTAGTATCACTCTCCTTTAATAGAATCCAACATAGAAATGCAATAAAATAAACTATATGGTGTAATAAGAAAGGTTCCTGACATTTAATTAAGAAAAGACAAACCTTTGATCTATGTTCTGGCTTTTGGAAAAATGAAGAACTTTTACGCCTTGGCCAACTAAGCTCAAAGCAATGTAATGACCTGAAAGAATTCAGAGGTCAAGCTACTAAATAAGTATCATGTAACGAGTTAGTGCCCAGTTTCTGATAATAGTGTAATGAACTAGCAAGTTTAGCACCACTGTACAGTCAGTTTGTGGTTTACAATGTTCCAAAGGAAGTAGCAAAGTTAGTTAAATCTATCATAGGAGAACTAAACAAGGTAACAAAGTTGTGATAACCTTCAGTCTCAGGTGTTTATAAAGCTGGATGTATTGTGAATTCATATTTGAATCAAAATCATTTTACACCCAACAAAAAACAAACTCTCAAGTTGAGTTTTATAAAATGCACCGATAGCACATTTAAATGGTTTCCATTCACAACACACTGCTCCTCCAAAATCATACAGTTATTCTGATGAATTCAATGCCACTCCTATGATATCTTTCATACATGGCATTCAGATCATGTCGTCTATCAGCAAATCTGACTTCTCTAGCTGGAAAAATTCTTGCTCAAGCTCATGTAACATTATTCCTACATAATTCCATCAGAAACTAGAAAAAAAAACAACATTGTTTACATTGGCTACAACTATTATTTCCCGTTCCAATTTAACTCGTGTCATTTGATCTCTTTTTCTCAATGCTGACTGTATCCTTGTTACCCATAAAATGAATTTGCAAAGTTCTATTAGAGTTATGTCTAAAAAATGACCTGGTTGTTAAGGGCTTAATGCTAAATTTTTCCAGAAAAATGTCCCACCAAAATTAGTAGTTAGTTATGTGGTAATTAACTATAAAATTCCCTTTATATAATGGTATAATTATCTATAATTTTTAGCCAACTATCGCCCCAGTCTCAATTCTAATTTGCATCAAATGACTCCCTCTCAACCCTGCATTCCAGTTTATAGGCAGCAAGCTCAGTTATCTACATATAAGAAATTATTCAAATAAAAGTGATGGTTGCTGAAGAATATTTACCAGAAATACTCATTAAAATCATCGCAATTTCTCCTGGATGAATAAGATGCCTTCCAATTATCATTGTTTGCAGCTTTTTGAAAGTCCATATAAATAAATGATAAATACCTATTGTACCACAGGAATTAGTAAGAGGATATTAATGTGGTGGAACTTAGAAGTGAAATGAGGCGGATGTGATTTAGTCAATTTGTCTATGTTTAATAAAATATTAATTTTAATGGAACACTAAGACTTACTGCAGAAATAACATCATAGAGAGGAAGGATGAACTTGATCAAGAAATGAGACACAATTCTCAGAAGTGCAATTATTAGCTGTATGTGCAACCTGCTGTCTTAAGATCTCATCCATCTATAGAAGTTAAAGTGGTCTAACCTTAAATCCTCTTAAGTCAATAATGAATTCATGAGCAACTGTTCCATTGACTCCGCAGAAAAGAACTGGGTAATAACTCTATAGAATTCAAAGTATAAGTATAAGACCAAGGTTCATCGTGCATGAAACTAACAAGAAAATAAAACAAATGTAATTTATGACAAAGCTTGAACCTCCAATCGTTTCGCCATGTAGTTTGCCTTCAAAATGGTTATCTTTGATGCGTCAGTAAGTCCTTGAGAACCCATCATGGCTATGTATGTGTAAGAGATTGGCAATATAAGTGCTGATCCCCAAGGTGCAGCGGAGATACTACCAAGTGGTTGAGGATTTTCAGGTGCAAGAATTCCACCGGTTGGCACCTTCATTATAGTAAGAGATGATATAAATATAAGAAAAACTAATCAATGTTCTTTCTTCACTTTTTTTACTATTTTGTGCGCTGAGCGTGACTTGATAACCAATGAATGCCACCTTTGCTTCGCACGAGTCAACGCACTAATACTATACATATTGTCTATCACCCATAACCGGAAAAAAGTACTTACCACGGGGTGTGAGGGCAAAAATGGTGCCAAGTGTTTCTTTACACCAATAGGACCCATGCCAGGGCCACCTCCTCCGTGAGGAATGCAAAATGCCTTATGGAGATTGAGATGGAAAACATCCGCTCCAATCCAACCTGGGCTTGTAAGTCCTACCTGTAAACGTGAACCAAGTAATCACCTTTGTACTGTCAAGTATTGGAAGACAATGAACCAAGTGGTTAATGAAATTGAGTTAAAGTTGAATCGATCATGAATGCCTGAGATTGACTCCTAATATCATCCTGAGGATCTACCCGAAGAAGTAAGAACTATACTTCCTTGACTCTTGGCCTAATACAAAGTACATTAACTAAAGGTGTATGGAAAAACAAACATGTGCATTCGTGTTGGCACCGTCCATGTATACTTGGCCACCATTATCATGGATAATCTTACAAATATCAGCAATACCTTCTTCATAAACACCATGAGTTGAAGGATATGTTACCTACAATTTAAGTAAACATCAAAGTAGGATCATGCTGTGGCAAAGTGAGAGATCTTTTGATTGGTGCGAAAGGGTGCAAATCGGTAAAGCTAGGCCATGTCACAAGCATCATTTTAGTTGTTGTACTCAACTTTATTGTACAAGATCCAAGTGGGATCATGTTGTGGCAAAGTGAAAGATCTTTTGATTGTAACCTATGAATGTATCTCAGCAACTCATGCTCAGTTTAGTACCTATAAAGGAAAAATCAAATGAAACAAAATTGTAGTATGCTTATGAAATTCAACGACATAAATCGAAATTTTTGAGAAAAGGGATATACGTGTTAAAGATAGGGTGTGTCAAATAGGGACTCTCCCTAACTAATCCAGAAGGAATTGCATTTTGAAATTCTGGTGCAAGAGATGCCGCTGTGAATGAGACCTGTAGACAAATAAAACATTTAGATGCAATAATGATATCATGATAATTGTGAAAACAAATACAAAATAGATATATGATTTAAACATACAGGCTTGCCACCAGCAAAAACTTTGAAAGTTTATCAACATCCTCTAACCTGGTTGTTTCGTCAAAAGCAGTGGTGATCTGAAAAGCAAACAAGCTCCGTCACAATTCAAAGACATGTAAATATAGTCAAACTGATTTGGTACAAGAATCTATGCATGACTTACAGTGTTTCCATCTATAACACGCAAATTGATTTCACTTTTGATAGCAGCATCTGAAATTGCTTTGGCATTTGAAGTCTTAACCTTCACAGTGTCAAAGAAGCCAAGATCCTGAACTTCGAATCCAAGTTTCTTTAATCCAAGAGCAAACACACCGGTAAGACCATGAACCCTTTGTGCAATGGCTTAAAGGCCTTCAGGTCCATGATATACAGCATACATAGCAGCCATGTTTGCAAGCAGTGCCTAAACAAAACCAACCAGAATCAAATAAAATCCTCAACCAAAATCTATTATACTTTAAAGCTAACATATAATCAATTCTGATATTTATTAAAAGTGCTAGTCATATGACACAAGATTTTGTGATCAAAACATAAATTACTTCACCTTAAACTCACTTCAACTAAAATCAATCTTATAAAATCAATTCAGTCGGAAACAATTTTCGTTAGAGAATACAACACATACTAAGTTACCTAAGCAATGCAAATGTTGCTGGTGGCCTTGTCTCTACGGATATGCTGCTCCCTAGTTTGCATAGCCATCCTCAAAGCTTGCTTTCCAGAAGAATCAACACTAACACCGATAATTCGTCCAGGCATAATCCTCTTATACTCTTGCAAAGTAGCTGTAACACGGTGGGAGAACTGACTTTAAACAATGTTGCGGATAGCAAGAGTCGCCACCGACTTTTATTTTATCCATAAGGAAAGGTTATAAAAGAACAGGAAAGACCTTAGAGAATATTTTGGGTCCGGGGGGTAGGTTATGAAAAGGGAAGGTGTTAGCACCCTTCTCATCCATGGTTATCCATGGGCTCTTAGGTACTTAAGCTCACTTTTGAATTGTTTTGAAAGTGTAGTGTGTGAATAGAAAATTTTCAGAATAGTCAATAAATAATCCATGTAAGGATGTGTTAAGAACTTGTTTGAAAACTTGTTGAAAATTTGTTTAAGTGTGAAACAGTTTTGAAGTGAGCAAGCACCTAAGAGTAACCTACTCTAATATTTAAAGGTCTTTCTTATTCTTCATTCTTTCCTTTAGTAAGACTATCCCTACTATAATGGAGTAGGTAGTCCTTACTTTGGATGTTAAGGGACATGTGAGGGACAATTTGACTTTGAAGGCCATTGTGGGATGTAATAAGCACATATAAGGGACCATCATCATTTTTCGAAAGGGACTCGATTCGTAAAGGCAACCATAAGGGACTTTGATGATTTTTCTATTTGAGGGACTTGCTTTATACACCCCACTTAACCATTATTCATAGGCAACTTGAGGGATATCCTTAGGAAGTGAGACGGCGATTAAAATCGACTTACGTGTGTGACGTGTTTATTTTAATTATCTTTATTTAAAAGTGATCTAAATTTATTTTAATATTACATACAGGTTGTTACACTCCCTAATTACTAACCATAATAATAATTAAATAATTAAACAACTTTACATCCAAGAAACAATTACAAAATAATAAGCAAAATAATTAAATAGCAAAGATAAATAAAATATAAATAAGCAATAATAAATAATAAAGGGGGTTAATTCTAAGTTTACTCGGCAAGACATCGCATCTTGTGCCTACGTATCCTTACGGGAGTGGAATCAGAGTAATTGTAGTTCCCCTCAATAGGGAGGTTAGAAACTTCTTGACTGTGGTCAAGGTCTCAAGGGGAATAAACGCATCTTAAGGACACGCTTACGTGGAGTGTAGAAACTCCAAATCTCTACGTTGAAATGTTAAGTTGTAATTAGGGTTAAATTAGGGATTCCACGGCGGGAAACCCTAAAATGAGCGCGGCGGCTCTTTGACCTAATGCTAAGGGTAAAATTGTAATTTTGCCTGCGGCGAGGCATTTGTGAAATTAGGGTTTGTAAGGTTACATATGGGAAGCAGATACAACAGTAATGAAAATTTGAATAAAGCATGAATAACTAAATAAAGGGTCATATGACAAACTGCAAAACGAACAGACAAGGTTAGTGGGCAGAATTACATGAATTATCAGACACGTCAGGAAGTGAAATTATGCATCTTTTTGTGGTTTTATTTTATGATGTAAACTTCAATTTGAATTTAAATAGGATTTTTAATATTGATAAATTTATTTACTTAAATTCTCAAAAACTATTTTAACCTAATTTTTTATTTTTAAAAAATGGATTTTAATATTATTTTAGAAAATATTTTAACAAATCAAAAGTAATTATAATAATAAAAATAAACAAAAACTAAAAAAAAAGAAAAAAAAAAAAAAGAAAAAGGGGAGTTGGGCCGGTAAATGCATCAAAAACAAGATCTAGGGTTGCGGCGCCGTTCGTTTCTTGTTTCCTCTGGTTCGCTCTGTCTCGTTCCATCGTCGTTGCCTCTTTTCGTTCCGATATTGAAACCCCTAAAATGTCAAAACATCAAACCATCAAATATGAAGCGTTATGCATGCGACGCTTACGTTTTATGTTGCGATCAGCGGTGAACGGAAACTGGGCGGTGATGAGATTTGATCTGAGCTCGAGAAGAGGTTTGCCTCTGTGAGCTAATCGGCACCGGTGAACTTCTTTGCGAGGCCCCGTTCGTGTGACGTGATATGATTGAGTGGCGATGATGATGGTATAGTCTGAGCTCGAGGGGGGTTTGCTCGTCGTTGAGGCGGCGCCGGTGAACCACCCTCTGTGGGTTAGTTCGCGAGTTCCTCTTGGTGACAATTTTCGGTCTTCTCTCCTCGCGGCCGCCGTTCGCGTTGTTTTTCGCTCTAGGGTTTCTTCGCTCTCTCTTCTCCCTCCAGGGTTTGTGACGCGGTGAGACTGTTCTTTTTATATACTTTCTGATTTTGTGATTTCGTGGGCTTGGACTTGAGTTTGATTCTCGTTATTATTGTGATGACCTGAGATTTGATTTGATTTTGTTGGATTTTCGGAACACATCTCTTTTCATTCTGATTGGGATTTCCTTTTTCAGATTTGCCTTTTCGTGGATTTTCTGATATGATTTGAACTTTCCCTTTATGGACTTGCCTGATTGGATTTGATTGAGATACGGATTTTATCTGGATAAGTTGGATTGATTTGGATTGTTTTCCTTTGCAGATGTGGATTGGAATCCCTTGATATTGATTGGATTCGTTTTGGATTCACCTGAGTTTTGGATATAGTTGGATATCTGGTTCAAATGCAGTTTGGATTTGAATATTAGATATTGTTTCTGGATCTGATATTTTCTGATAGGGTTCATTGATTTTGTCGATATTGATATTTTGAATCTGTTTTCATTTTTTGATGTCAGTTGTGATTCATTTTCGGACTGGTTTGCCTCCGGATTTCACTTCGATATCAGTTCCTGTTTTGTTGTGACTTATGTTTGGATTGGTTTGATTACAGATTTCACTTCGATATCGGTTTTTGGTTTGTATTTCACTTGCTGATATGGATTCATTCTGATATCAATCTGTTTTGGAAATTTCAGGTGTTGGACTTTTCGGAACCGGTTCGGATCTATCGGCATCTGGATCTGAAACTCGGATATCCAATATTTACTTGATGAAACATATCCCGATTACAATCAGTTTGGCTTTACAAATCCAATTTCGGCAGATAATCACTTTTTCGGCAAAATCTTTTCCTCGGCCAAAAACTTCTTTTACCTCTCTTTCTCGGCTGTCCCAAAAATAAGAACGGATGCTGCCGGTTGGTAGCCGAGGTCGGAGATTGGAATGGGAGTTTGGTTTCGGCATTAGTCGTGCCCTCCCGACACCCGGTGATGAACTTTACTCTGAGGGTGTCAACCGATCAAAAAACTTCTTTTAAATTTGATATTCTGTTTTTGCTCTGCTTGTGTCGGTTTTGCAGGTACCAGAAGAAAATTCACCATGAAGTCGGTTGAAAAATCTAGCATGAAGGACTTAGAAAGATTAGGACTTTTTAGTGTAATTTGATCTTATTTTTGTACCTTGGTATCATGCCTCCTGTGGGTTGTTGTTATTGGTGGAATTGTTACTCCAAATTTTAAGATAAAACCTTCATCATTGTAGCACGTAAACAAAGTTTGGAAATTATCTGAATCTGTTAGTTATTTTTACAAGGCACTTGTTTGGAATTATGTCTCAAACTGAATTTTGTATATTTGAATGTACCATCCCTTATATTGAAATAGAATCAAACCCATGAATGTTGCCGGTTATTTGAATAATAAGTATCCAACAGAGGTATTAACCTCTCGTTCAACATATAGCATGTTTTCTT